AGCGCCTCCTCCCCACTGAGCCCAAGACCACTGCAGCCCCTCCTCCCCACTGAGCCCAAGACCACTACAGCCCCCTCCTCCCCACTGAGCCCAGGACCACTGCAGCCCCCTCCTCCCCACTGAGCCCAAGACCACTGCAGCCCCTCCTCCCCACTGAGCATGAGACCACTGCAGCCCCTCCTCCCCACTGAGCATGAGACCACTGCAGCCCCCTCCTCCCACTGAGCCCAAGACCACTGCAGCCCCCTCCTCCCCACTGAGCCCAAGACCACTGCAGCCCCCTCCTCCCCACTGAGCCCAAGACCACTGCAGCCCCCTCCTCCCCACTGAGCCCAAGACCACTGCAGCCCCTCCTCCCCACTGAGCCCGACCACTGCAGCCCCTCCTCCCCACTGAGCCCAAGACCACTGCAGCCCCCCCTCCCCACTGAGCCCAAGACCACTACAGCCCCCTCCTCCCCACTGAGCCCAGGACCACTGCAGCCCCTCCTCCCCACTGAGCCCAAGACCACTGCAGCCCCCTGCTCCCCACTGAGCCCAAGACCACTGCAGCCCCTCCTCCCCACTGAGCCCAAGACCACTGCAGCCCCTCCTCCCCACTGAGCCCAAGACCACTGCAGCCCCCTCCTCCCCACTGAGCCCAAGACCACTCCAGCCCCCTCCTCCCCACTGAGCCCAAGGCCACTGCAGCCCCCTCCTCCCCACTGAGCCCAAGACCACTGCAGCCCCTCCTCCCCACTGAGCCCAAAGCCACTGCAGCCCCCTCCTCCCCACTGAGCCCAAGACCACTGCAGCCCCTCCTCCCCACTGAGCCCAAGACCACTGCAGCCCCCCTCCTCCCCACTGAGCCCAAGACCACTGCAGCCCCCTCCTCCCCACTGAGCCCAAGACCACTGCAGCCCCTCTTCCCCACTGAGCCCTCCCTCCCCTCCTTCCTCCTTCTGCGTAAGCATTGCTCTGTTCCCCCCGCATGGCTTCCTGCTCCCCTCCATAGCTGCCCTCCCTCCGTCCCTCTGCCTGATCATTGCTGTGTCCCCCCGCATGGCTTCATGCTCCCCTCCACAGCTGCCCTCCCTCCGTCCCTCAGCCTGATCATTGCTGTGTCCCCCCGCATGGCTTCCTGCTCCCCTCCACAGCTGCCCTCCCTCCGTCCCTCAGCCTGATCATTGCTGTGTCCCCCCGCATGGCTTCCTGCTCCCCTCCACAGCTGCCCTCCCTCCCTCCCTCAGCCTGATCATTGCTGTGTCCCCCCGCATGGCTTCCTGCTCCCCTCCACAGCTGCCCTCCCTCCCTCCCTCAGCCTGATCATTGCTGTGTCCCCCCGCATGGCTTCCTGCTCCCCTCCACAGCTGCCCTCCCTCCCTCCCTCCCTCAGCCTGATCATTGCTGTGTCCCCCTGCATGGCTTCCTGCTCCCCTCCACAGCTGCCCTCCCTCCCTCCCTCAGCCTGATCATTGCTGTGTCCCCCCGCATGGCTTCCTGCTCCCCTCCACAGCTGCCCTCCCTCCGTCCCTCAGCCTGATCATTGCTGTGTCCCCCCGCATGGCTTCCTGCTCCCCTCCACAGCTGCCCTCCCTCCCTCCCTCCCTCAGCCTGATCATTGCTGTGTCCCCCCGCATGGCTTCTGCTCCCCTCCACAGCTGCCCTCCCCTTCCAGTGTATGCTCCCGTCTTTACATTTTTCTAGACTTCCATCTTTAGACGTACATGAACTTTGTGAAGACAGAGGGGAGCAGGGAGCATTTAGCGTGTGTTTCCTTTAACCACAGGACAACTGCCCACAGCTGCCCAATTCTGGGCAGGAAGATTTCGACAAGGATGGAATTGGTGATGCCTGTGATGAGGACGATGACAACGATGGCGTGAGCGACGAGAAGGTAGGGTCAGGGTCATGGTGGGGCTGGGGGCGGGTGAGGGGAAGGTGGGGAGGGGGAGGGGGGCTGGGAGGGAGTGAGGAGGTGGGGAGGGGGGAGGGGGGACGGGTGGGGGAGGAGGAGGTGGGGACGGGTGGGGGAGGAGGAGGTGGGGGACAGGGGTGGGGGAGGAGGAGGTGGGGACAGGGGTGGGGGAGGAGGAGGTGGGGACGGGGACAGGGGTGGGGGAGGGGGGAGGTGGGGACAGGGGTGGGGAGGGGGAGGGGGGACGGGTGGGGGAGGGGGAGGTGGGGGCAGGGGTGGGGGGAGGAGGAGGTGGTTACAGGGGTGGGGGAGGAGGAGGTGGGGACAGGGGTGGGGGAGGGGGAGGTGGGGACAGGGGTGGGGGAGGGGGAGGTGCGGACAGGGGTGAGGGAGGAGGAGGTGGGGACAGGGACAGGGGTGGGGGAGGGGGAGGTGGGGACAGGGGTGGGGGAGGGGGAGGGGGGACGGGTGGGGGAGGGGGAGGGGGGGACAGGGGTGGGGGGAGGAGGAGGTGGGGACAGGGGTGGGGGAGGAGGAGGTGGGGACAGGGGTAGTTGAGGTGGGGACAGGGGTGGGGGAGGGGGAGGTGGGGACAGGGGTAGGGGAGGGGGAGGGGGGACAGGTGGGGGAGGGGGAGGTGGGGACAGGGGTGGGGAGGAGGAGGTGGGGACAGGGGTAGTTGAGGTGGGGACAGGGGTGGGGAGGGGGAGGTGGGGATGGGGGTGGGGGAGGAGGAGGTGGGGACAGGGGTGGGGGAGGGCGAGGTGGGGACAGGGGTAGTTGAGGTGGGGACACGGGTGGGGGAGGAGGAGGTGGGGACAGGGGTGGGGGAGGAGGTGGGACGGGGGTGGGGGAGGAGGAGGTGGGGGACGGGGGTGGGGGAGGAGGAGGTGGGGACGGGGGTGGGGGAGGAGGAGGGTGGGGACAGGGACAGGGGTGGGGGAGGGGGAGGTGGGGACAGGGGTGGGGGAGGAGGAGGTGGTTACAGGGGTGGGGGAGGAGGAGGTGGGGACGGGGTGGGGGAGGGGGAGGTGGGGACGGGTGGGGGAGGGGGAGGTGCGGACAGGGGTGGGGGAGGAGGTGGGGACAGGGACAGGGATGGGGGAGGGGGAGGTGGGGACAGGGGTGGGGGAGGGGAGGGGGGACGGGTGGGGGAGGGGGAGGGGGGGACAGGGGTGGGGGAGGAGGAGGTGGGGACAGGGGTGGGGGCAGGAGGAGGTGGGGACAGGGGTGGGGGAGGGGGGAGGGGGGGACAGGGGTAGTTGAGGTGGGGACAGGGGTGGGGGAGGGGGAGGTGGGGATGGGGGTGGGGGAGGAGGAGGTGGGGACAGGGGTGGGGGAGGGCGAGGTGGGGACAGGGGTAGTTGAGGTGGGGACAGGGGTGGGGCGAGGAGGAGGTGGGGACGGGGGGTGGGGGAGGGGGAGGTGGGGACGGGGGTGGAGGTGGGGACGGGGGTGGGGAGGGGGAGGGGGAGGTGGGGATGGGGGTGGGGGAGGGCGGGAGGTGGGGACGGGGGTGGGGGAGGGGGAGGTGGGGACGGGGGTGGGGGAGGGGGAGGTGGGGACGGGGGTGGGGGAGGGGGAGGTGGGGACGGGGGTGGGGGGAGGGGGGAGGTGGGGCTGGGTGGTCCTGCCTGTCGCTGTGGGTTTGGATGTGGCACTGAACGGTCCTCTTGGGGCCCTCGTCTTGACAGGTATTGGTACTCAGTCTCAAAAAGTCAGGGCTGGAGAAAGCAGGTTACTTGCAAGAAAAATCAGGCAGTGCCCGGCTCCATGGGCAATCTGCAGAAACATGAGGGAGGTGCCATGAATGAAAGGGTAGCACCAGAATCAGCGCCACGCCGGCCACCGGAGGGAGGCTGGAGCTGGAGTCAGCGCCACGCCGGCCTTTGGCACAGCGGCACCCTTGCACACTCAATGCCGTGAGGAGGGACCGCCCCAGCTCTGCACTCTGCTGTGTGACTCGCTTGGCTCTTCCTCAGCCACACCTACCCAGTCACCTGGGAGCAAACACAGCAGCATCTTGGCTGTAAAGAAATCTCAAAATTTGAGCTAGGCGCCGGTGGCTCACGCCTGTCATCCTAGTTGCTCAGGAGGCCGAGATCTGAGGATTGCGGTTCAAAGCCAGCCCAGGCAGGAAAGTTTTGAGACTCCTGTCTCCAGTAAACCACCAGAAACCCGGAAGTGGCGCTGTGGCTCAAGTGGTAGAGCACTTGTCTTGAGCTGAAGAGCTGAGGGACAGCGCCCAGGCCCAGAGTTCAGGCCCCACGACTGATCTCCCCGCCCCCCCAAAAAATCTTAAAGTTTTCAGAGAGAGCTGGTGGATGAATGACTACCCACTGACTTGACCGGGAGCCGCCGCTTGGCAAGGCCAGTGGGCTCGTTATCCCGTGCCCACCAATGGTGCACCCTCCGTCCCCAGCTCCAGCAGCCCGCACATGGCTGCGCTCTTGTGAAGTTTCTTCCTGTGTTTTCAGGACAACTGCCAGCTGCTCTTCAACCCCCGCCAGTTTGACTATGACAAGGATGAGGTTGGGGACCGCTGCGACAATTGCCCCTACGTGCACAACCCTGCGCAGATCGACACCGACAACAATGGCGAGGGAGACGCCTGCTCCGTGGACATCGACGGGGACGGTCAGTGCTGTCCATTTGACTGACACAGATTTGCGAGGGTGGGCGCGTCCTCGGCTCCAGTGACGCACCTTAGTGACGGGCGCGTCCTCGGCTCTAGTGACGCAGCTTAGTGACAGGCATGTCCTCGGCTCCAGTGACGCACCTTAGTGACGGGCGAGTCCTCCTTAGTGACGGGCGAGTCCTCCTTAGTGACGGGCGCGTCCTCGGCTCTAGTGACGCACCTTAGTGACGGGCGCGTCCTCGGCTCTAGTGACGCACCTTAGTGACGGGCGAGTCCTCCTTAGTGACGGGCGAGTCCTCCTTAGTGACGGGCGAGTCCTCCTTAGTGACGGGCGAGTCCTCCTTAGTGACGGGCGCGTCCTCGGCTCTAGTGACGCACCTTAGTGACGGGCGAGTCCTCCTTAGTGACAGGCATGTCCTCGGCTCCAGTGACGCACCTTAGTGACGGGCGAGTCCTCGGCTCTAGTGACGCAGCTTAGTGACGGGCGAGCCCTCGGCTCTAGTGAGGCACCTTAGTGACGGGCGAGTCCTCCTTAGTGACGGGCGAGTCCTCGGTTCTAGTGACTCACCTTAGTGACGGGCGAGTCCTCCTTAGTGACGGGCGAGTCCTCGGCTCTAGTGACGCAGCTTAGTGACAGGCATGTCCTCGGCTCCAGTGACGCACCTTAGTGGCAGGCGAGTCCTCAGTTCTAGTGATGCAGCTTAGTGACAGGCAAGTCCTCAGTTCTAGTGATGCAGCTTAGTGACAGGCATGTCCTCGGTTCTAGTGATGCAGCTCTCCTGACGGCTGATGTCGGGTGCACCCTCGGTTTTAGTGACGCAGCTTTCTGGTTCTAGTGACGCGGCTCTCCTGACCATGGGCGCCCTCGGTTCTAGTGACGCGGCTCTCTTGATGGCGGGAGCGCCCTCAGTTCTAGTGACGCAGCCCTCTCGTGATGGCCGACACTTCATTTATTTTATTTCACAGAAGTCCAGTGGGCCCTGGGCATCCATGCGTCTGTGTCTGAGGAATTCTTTCCCAGTTGACCCTGGTACTTGAAAGGACACTGCATGTCCTTGGCATGTGTAGACTTTTCCCTTCTTGTTGGCGTCTGACCCTAGAGTTCATGACCCTGTATGTGGCAGTACACTGAACTGGGTGCTATAAGTCATCGAGAGGCGACTGGGGTACGCGCATGTAGAGTACTTGCAGTGCTTCAGTATTGATACGAGGGACTTGGGCATCCCAGATTGGATCTCCACGGGGTCCCGGACCAGCCCTTGATAGATACCGGGGTGACTCCATTTGCAAGCTTTATGCTTCATGCTGACCTTTGGGGAAGGACTTAATGTCATCTAAGTACTAGTGTGAGATGAAACAATTTGTTAGATAGCTTGTGATCCTAGGGGCCCATTCTTGGTCTGTCTCTGTCTCAGAATCATTCTTAGAAAACCCCAGTTCCCAGATTCCCTCAACCCCACCACAGGGCCCTGCACTCTTGGGCTTTCCTGGTATCCTCTGTAGTGTTCAAAACACCCCAGAACCCAGACTTCTGGCCTCACAGCTCTCTGAGAAGCATCCAGAATTGCCATTTGCCTGGACAGTGGTCCCTTCTCACTTCCCATCCTCAGCTTTCTGCATTCACGTCCCATGGGCCCCACAGAGCCCCCCCCCCCGCCCTGCCCCTGCCACACTCTCTCCCTTGGGCCCTCCATCCTCAGCCCGCCCTGGGAGCCCTCAGAGACTCGCAGGCTCACCGTGCTGGCTCTGCACAGGGCCACCTTGCCCTCCCTCTCCTTCTGCCCAGCACAGGGTTGTTTTTGTCCCAAAGTGTATGTTCATAGATTGACGTTTTCAGTCCATTACAGGAGGGAATGAACACCTCCAGGGTGTACGGAACTGAAGAGGGCGCCTTGAGCTACGCCAAGCTGGCTGTCAGGCGCGGTGCACACACTATGGGTCTCCTGCGCCGAGGCCTACCCGTTGTAGGGGCCCTTTCTTGGTTGACCTCCTCTTAGCTCCATGTCCCCAGTCAAGGCCAGCATCTCCACTCAGTCCCCTGTTCTCTCACTCATGCCTTCATGCTCTGTTTTGAGTTTGTCTTATTGCTGGTGGCATTGCTTAGTCTGCTGCTAATTTGTACTCACCAGTAACTCAGCATGGGTAGAGTTCATTGTAACCAGGTCTGCCACTGTTCTATTCCAACTGCTGGGCATGGCTGAAGAGCCAGCACTGCCTGGAAAGCTGACAGGAGTCAGAGCCATCAGCATCTCAGCCCAAGTGTGACAGAAGACGGAGCCATCAGCACGTACATTCTTAAGTGTGACAGTAGATGGAGCCTTCACCCCGTGTACTCCAAGTGTGATGGGAGATAGAGCCTTCAGCACACACTCCCAAGTGTGGCAGTAGATGGAGCCTTCACCCCGTGTACTCCAAGTGTGATAGGAGATAGAGCCTTCAGCACACACTCCCAAGTGTGGCAGTAGATGGAACCTTTACCAGGGATACTCCACGTGTGATGGAGCCTTCACCAGATGATCTCCAAGTGTGACAGGAGACGGAGCCTTCACCAGATGATCTCCAAGTGTGACAGAGCCTTCACCAGATGATCTCCAAGTGTGACAGACAGTGCCTTCACCAGATGATCTCCAAGTGTGACAGAGCCTTCACCAGATGATCTCCAAGTGTGACAGAGCCTTCACCAGATGATCTCCAAGTGTGACAGGAGACAAAGCCTTCACCAGATGATCTCCAAGTGTGACAGGAGACGGAGCCTTCACCAGATGATCTCCAAGTGTGACAGGAGACAAAGCCTTCACCAGATGATCTCCAAGTGTGACAGGAGACGGAGCCTTCACCAGATGATCTCCAAGTGTGACAGACAGTGCCTTCACCAGATGATCTCCAAGTGTGACAGGAGACAGAGCCTTCACCAGATGATCTCCAAGTGTGACAGAGCCTTCACCAGATGATCTCCAAGTGTGACAGAGCCTTCACCAGATGATCTCCAAGTGTGACAGGAGACGGAGCCTTCACCAGATGATCTCCAAGTGTGACAGGAGACGGAGCCTTCACCAGATGATCTCCAAGTGTGACAGAGCCTTCACCAGATGATCTCCAAGTGTGACAGAGCCTTCACCAGATGATCTCCAAGTGTGACAGGAGACAGAGCCTTCACCAGATGATCTCCAAGTGTGACAGGAGACGGAGCCTTCACCAGATGATCTCCAAGTGTGACGGGAGGTGGAGCCTTCACGTGTACTCCTAGAGGACCTTAGCAGGGAGAAGTCGGTTGTGCCAGGCCAGGGAGCCTCGCCATACCTTCATATCACACCTCCACCCCTGTCATTACCCAGGGAGCTCCCAGCTTGATTCTACTGTAAAATGAAGGGAGTGAACTGTAACAGGAAATGTTCCATCCACTGCTTCCTGTATTTTACCATACATTGGCTTACATTCACATTAACTCCTTGGATTGCATGTTACTTGTGTCTGGGGAAGTAATGTACATTTTCTAAACTCACATAATGCTGCGCTTGTTCTCTGGACTCCAACAGATGTTTTCAACGAAAGAGACAACTGTCCTTATGTCTACAACACGGACCAGAGAGACACGGATGGCGATGGCGTGGGTGACCACTGTGACAACTGTCCACTGATGCACAACCCGGACCAGGTAGCAGGGGTCCAGGAGGGTCCTTGTGATGGTCTCTGAGAGCAGAGTTCGCAGTGTCTGCAGGGCCTGTCTCTGGTCTGTCTGGGGTGCTGTCACTGGTCTGTCTGGGGGGCTGTCACTGGTCTGTCTGGGCTGTCGCTAGTGTGTCTGGGGGGCTGTCTCTGGGGTATCTGGGGGCTGTCTCTGGGGTGTCTGGGGGCTGTCTCTGGGATGTCTGGGGGCTGTCACTAGTGTGTCTGGGGGGCTGTCTCTGGGGTATCTGGGGGCTGTCTCTGGGGTGTCTGGAGGCTGTCTCTGGGGTGTCTGGGGGCTGTCTCTGGGGTGTCTGGAGGCTGTCTCTGGGATGTCTGGGGGCTGTATCTGGGGTGTCTGGAGGCTCTCTCTGGGGTGTCTGGAGGCTGTCTCTGGTCTGTCTGGAGGCTGTCTCTGGGGTGTCTGGGGCTGTCTCTGATCTGTATGGGAGGTTGTCTCTGGTCTGTCTGGGGGCTGTCTCTGGGGTGTCTGGGGCTGTCTCTGATCTGTCTGGGAGGTTGTCTCTGGTCTGTCTGGGGGCTGTCTCTGGGGTGTCTGGGGCTGTCTCTGATCTGTCTGGGAGGTTGTCTCTGGTCTGTCTGGGGGCTGTCTCTGGTCTGTCTGGGAGGCTGTCTGTGGGGTGTCTGGGAGGCTGTCTCTGGGGTGTCTGTGGGCTGTCTCTGGTCTGTCTGGGAGGCTGTCTATGGGGTGTCTGGTGGCTGTCTATGGGGTGTCTGGGAGGCTGTCTCTGGGATGTCTGGGGCTGTCTCTGGGGTGTCTGGGGCTGTCTCTGCGGTGTCTGGGAGGCTGTCTCTGGGGTGTCTGGAGGCTGTCACTGGGGTGTCTGGGGGCTGTCTCTGAGGTGTCTGGGGTAACTGGGAGGCTGTCTCTGGGGTGTCTCGGCTGTTTCTGGGGTGTCTGGAGGCTGTCTGGTCTGTCTGGAGGCTGTCTCTGTGGTGTCTGGGAGGCTGTCACTGGGGTGTCTGGGGGCTATCTCTGGGGTGTCTGGGAGGCTGTCTCTGGGGTGTCTGGGGGCTGTGTCTGGGGGCTGTCTCTGGGGTGTCTGGATGCTGTCTCTGGGGTGTCTGGGAGGCTGTCTCTGAGGTGTCTGGGGTGACTGGGAGGCTGTCTCTGGGGTGTCTCGGCTGTTTCTGGGGTGTCTGGAGGCTGTCTGGTCTGTCTGGAGGCTGTCTCTGTGGTGTCTGGGAGGCTGTCACTGGGGTGTCTGGGGGCTATCTCTGGGGTGTCTGGGAGGCTGTCTCTGGGGTGTCTGGGAGGCTGTCGCTGGTCTGTCTGGGGGCTGTCTCTGGTCTGTCTGGGAGGCTCTCTGTGGGGTGTCTGGGGGCTGTCTCTGGGGTGTCTGGAGGCTGTCTCTGGTCTGTCTGGGAGGCTGTCTCTGGGGTATCTGGGAGGCTGTCTCTGGTCTGTTTGGGTGGCTGTCTCTGGGGTATCTCGACTGTCTTTGGGGTGTCTGGGAGACTGTCTCTGGGGTATCTGGGAGGCTGTCTCTGGTCTGTCTGGGCGGCTGTCTCTGGGGTGTCTGGGAGGCTGTCTCTGGGGTGTCTGGGGGCTGTCTCTGGGGTGTCTGGAGGCTGTCTCTTGGGTGTCTGGGAGGCTGTCTCTGGGGTGTCTGGGGGCTGTCTCTGGTCTGTCAGGGAGGCTGTCTCTGGTCTGTCTGGGCGGCTGTCTCTGGGGTGTCTGGGGCTGTCTCTGGTCTGTCTGGGGCTGTCTCTGGGGTATCTGGAAGGCTGTCTCTGGGGTGCCTGGAGGCTGTCTCTGAGGTGTCTGGGGGCTGTGTCTGGGGTGTCTTGGGGCTCTCTGGGGTGCCTGGAGGCTGTCTCTGAGGTGTCTGGGGGCTGTGTCTGGGGTGTCTTGGGGCTGTCTCTGGGGTGTCTGGAGGCTGTCTCTGGGGTGTCTGGGGGCTGTCTCTGGTGTCTCGGCTGTCTCTTGGGTGTCTGGGGGCTGTCTCTAGTCTGTCTGTAGTGCTGTCTCTGGTCTGGGGGTGTCTAGGGGCTGTCTCTGGGATCTCTGAGGTGTTGTCTCTGGGGTACTGTCTTTGGTCTGTCTGGGAAGCTGTCTCTGAGGTGTCTAGGGGCTTGTCTCTGGGGTGTCTGGGAGGCTGTCTCTGGGGTGTCTGGGGTGCTGTCTTTGGTCTGTCTGGGGGGCTATATCTGTTGCTCAACAGCCAGTAGTCTTTGTGGGTCCCAACAGCTTAGCTAAGGCATTACGACAGACATGCCTTCAACCTCTTAGTTGGAAACCTCAGACTCTAACCTAACTTCGGGTCTGTCTCAGTGGCCAGAAGCCTTCCTGCCTTGGGGAGGGCCCCAGGGTGCCTGGTGGCAAGTGCTGTGGAGTGTGGCGTTCTCCTCCCCAGTGTCTGTGGGGCACTGCCCTCTTGGCCCTGGGACCAGGACCCCAGTTCAGGCCCAGTTCTGAGGTATACCCTAGAGGGGGCTTGGGCACCCGACCATGCGACAGGAGGTTGCGATCTGACCCGAGCTGGGACTTCCTGGGGTCGCTCACAGCCCGTGCGTGTGCCTCATGCTGTCCCCAGACGGACGCGGACAACGACCTTGTCGGAGACCAGTGTGACAACAGCGAAGACATCGATGACGACGGCCACCAGAACAACCAGGACAACTGCCCGTACCTCGCCAACGCCAACCAGGCCGACCACGACGGCGACGGCCAGGGCGACGCCTGCGACTCGGACGACGACAACGACGGCGTCCCCGACGACAGGGACAACTGCCGGCTGGTGTTCAACCCGGGCCAGGAGGATGCCGACGGTGGGCGCCGCGCCCCGCGCCCCGCCGAGAGCAGGCCCCGCGCCCCGCCGAGAGCAGGCCCCGCGCCCCGCGCCCCGCGCTCCGCGGAGAGCAGGCCCCGCGCCCCGCGCCCCGCGCCCCGCCGAGAGCAGGCCCCGCGCCCCGCGCCCCGCCGAGAGCAGGCCCCGCGCCCCGCGCCCCGCCGAGAGCAGGCCCCGGCCGCAGGGTGCTCCCCGCCCCCACCCCGTCTGCCCAGGCAGCTGCCGTCTCACGTTGAGCTGTGCGAGGAGCCCTGTGTGCCCGGCATGCTGGGGTGGGGAGACCTGAGTGTCCGTAGCACTTTCAGGACTCTGACAGTCTCTTGTAAGGACGCGTCGCTTGGTGTATGATACCAGCGAGTGGCAGGGCATTTCTATTGTGTTTGGCAAAGTACTCAAAATGGGGGAGTAGAACATAGGGCCTCCGAGGAAGGAAGCCAGTGCGGCTCAGAACCATAGCAGAGCAGGCTCCTGAGGAGGTGCGGCTGGCCTGGGCCATCTGCCCCTCAGCCACTCAGCAGCCAGTGCAAGCCGCTGGGTCTGTGGCGGGCTGGCCTTGAGCAAGCAGAGGAGCTGCCCTGCTGCCCTGCCAAGCCCTCTTTGGAAGAGGCATCCGTGACAAATGGAGATCAGGTCCAGGGTGACTCAGCGCAGGAGAGGAGACACTCAGATGGAGGGTTCATGTGAGGGAACCCCCTCACACAGCCTGGAGGACATTTCACTGAAAATGAGCCTCCAGTCCAGATCTCGGCCTCTCTGTGGGATGTGGGACCCTAGTCATGGGCCCTCAGGCAGGGGACTGGGATGTGCACAGTATTTAAAAGAATAGGACTGCATGGTCTCTACACGTAGTAAGAGAGTGTATGATACTGAGCAGAACTGTGGTGCCATAGTGAAGACCTCAGAAGAAGTATCCAGGCTGGAATCTACTTCTTTCTGAAGCCCACAAACAGTCCAGTGGGCTGGCAGCATGCGGGGCTGTGCCGGGAGCCAGGGGCAGGGCAGCTACCACGTCCCATGGACCACCCCCTTTCCAAACCAGGATGTATGTGGTCATGTATGTGGCCTGCTCGGCCTCCTGTCACAAGCTTTCTGAGAGTTTGCCTAGATGCCTCTGTAGAAGTCCACATCTCCATAGAAAGAGACTGTGTTTGATGAAAACTTCTACTTTAAATGCTGAATTAGTTGGTTGAGATGGTGGTTAAAGAAGGTGATTTTTTTGAAGGTGAAGTTCAGGCTGACCCTCAGGGCATCTCTCCAATTTCTTGCCCATGTGCTCAACATGGAATAAGCAGCAAGTCTGGCGGCTGCAGTATTAATCAGAAAGATGTTTTGAAAAAGAGTTTCTCAATTGCATTCAAGTTCAGTGTTAGATGGCAAGCAGCAATCCACCAGCCCTCAACCCCCAACCCCAGAGAACCAGCTCCCTCTGGCTCACTCCTCACTGGTGCTGTTTCCCTGGTGTGTGTTTGTGAACAGGTGATGGACGGGGTGATATCTGTAAGGACGATTTTGACAATGACAATGTCCCTGACATCGAAGACGTGTGCCCAGAGAACAACGCCATCAGTGAGACGGACTTCAGGAACTTCCAGATGGTCCCCCTGGACCCCAAGGGAACCACACAGATTGATCCCAACTGGGTCATTCGCCACCAGGGAAAGGAGCTGGTTCAGACGGCGAACTCAGACCCTGGCATTGCTGTAGGTGAGCGGGGGGACCCCCGCCGCTGCCCGTGGTATCCACAGAGAACAGGATGCTGACGGTTGCGGGAGGGCGTGGGGCGGGATCAGGCTGATCTTTTGGGTAGCCCTGTGGGGCGGGATTAGGGTGATCTTTTGGGTAGCCCTGTCCTGCTTTGATGTGCAGCACTGTCTCCCTAAATGATCTTGGCGGGAAGGAGTAGTTCACGTCTCTACTTTGGAATTTGATACTCAGCAAGCCGTTTCATGTTTGGATTCAATCTGAAGTGATTAGACCACACAGTAAAACTCTGCTGCTTGCTCTCAGCTGGCGTTTTACATATCCAGCAGTACAGAAGCTGTGTCGGGTGGAGGCACAGGGCCAGCTTCAGCTCCAGTACCTGCTTTCCGAGGGCTGCGGCCCGCCCGGGGTCCCTGAGGGGCTCCCCTAGCCCTGGGGCCGTGTGCTTGCTTTGCCACAGGGTTTGACGAGTTTGGTTCCGTGGACTTCAGCGGCACGTTCTACGTCAACACAGACCGGGATGATGACTACGCCGGCTTCGTCTTTGGCTACCAGTCGAGCAGCCGCTTCTACGTGGTGATGTGGAAGCAGGTCACGCAGACCTACTGGGAAGACAAGCCCAGCCGGGCGTACGGCTACTCGGGGGTGTCCCTCAAGGTGGTGAACTCCACCACGGGCGTGGGAGAGCACCTGCGCAACGCTCTGTGGCACACGGGGAACACAGAGGGACAGGTGAGCGGCCACCCCTGCCCTCAGAGGGCGCCCTGCTGTCCTGACCACTCTCAGACGCCCCTCGGTCACCCCTGCCCTCAGAGGGCGCCCTGCTGTCCTGACCACTCTCAGACGCCCCTCGGTCACCCCTGCCCTCAGAGGGCGCCCTGCTGTCCTGACCACTCTCAGACGCCCCTCGGTCACCCCTGCCCTCAGAGGGCGCCCTGCTGTCCTGACCACTCTCAGACGCCCCTCGGTCACCCCTGCCCTCAGAGGGCGCCCTGCTGTCCTGACCACTCTCAGACGCCCCTCGGTCACCCCTGCCCTCAGAGGGCGCCCTGCTGTCCTGACCACTCACAGACGCCCCTCTGTCACCCCTGCCCTCAGCGCCCTGCTGTCCTGACCACTCACAGACGCCCCTCGGTCACCCCTGCCCTCAGAGGGCGCCCTGCTGTCCTGACCACTCTCAGACACCCCTCTGTCACCAGGCCTCATGGCCGCCTCGCGGCTAGCACCTGCTTTCTTACAGACAGGTCCTGGCATTTTTATCAAAGCTGTCTGCCACTCTCTTGCAAATTAAACACTTTTCTGATCTTAGACAGGGAGGAGGCAGTTCCCAAGTGTCCAGTGGTTCCACAGGAATCACAAGATCCAGAACTTTCTTGGCTCATGTCGGTCCAGTGCCTGTAGTCCCAGCCCTGACTTGCAGTGCATCATAGTATTGTTAGTCAGTCACAGAGTGTAGCGTAGTTACACTAGGTGTACCACAACCGTATCAGAGAGAGCTGCACCCAGGCCAGCATCTCCCTGCTCCCGCCATGTGTGTCCTGTGGGCATGGGGCTGCAGAGGGGACGGGGCCTGGGTCCTAGACTGCTGCTTTCCTCAGGTGCGCACACTGTGGCATGACCCAAAAAACATCGGCTGGAAAGACTATACTGCGTACAGGTGGCATCTGACCCACAGACCCAAGACCGGCTACATGAGGTGAGAGAGGCCGTGGCTGGTCTCATTAGTGTCCAGCTGTGTTCCCACGGGCATGATTTCCAGTAGGTGGCCATTGTGAACGTTAACCAATACTACTTCTTTCTATCTACATCTTGATTGAGCATAACTTACTAGAAAAATTGTTGAGAAAGAGAAACGTAGGTACATCATAAGATAACTCAGAAGTGTGATGGTCCCTCCCCTCCAGAGGCCCCTGAGGGGAGGCGGCCCCCCAGAAACCACCCAGCCCCGCTGCTTTGGAGAGTCAACCCCTATTCATTTCTGACATGTACACGGCTGAGTTAGAATACATATTTGAATACAATTTCCACAACTTGCAGACCAAAAGAGTTTTGTTCCTTGCTTGAACAGCATTTTTAAGTTGATTACAACAACACATGGGCAATGTAAAGTGAAGGAATTTCTCTTGGCTCCAGTGGAATTCCTTTTGTCTTTTGCCCCAGTGGTTGAACCCCGGGTTGCAGGTGCCAGGCCGGTGCTCTCCACCGAGTCGCAGCCCAGCCCCGGTTGGGTGCTGTGTGCAGCAGCTCTGGGGGCCAGGTGTCCCTGAGCTTGGCCTTGTTTGGGCCACCCTCTTCGTGGGGAGCACGGAGACATCACTTCTCATTCGGGGGGGGGGGATCTGTCCTCACTCTCCCATGTCCTGGCTTTCATGTGAGGTGAAGGGCCCTGGTGCCATCAGACAGGAGAGCTCTGGCCCCCAGGAGGAGGAGGGAACTTGTTCACCACGGGGGCTGTGCACTGAGGAGGGACCCGTTCACCACGGGGGCTGTGCACGGAGGAGGGAATCCATTCACTACGGGGGCTGTGCACGGAGGAGGGAATCCATTCACTACGGGGGCTGTGCACTGAGGAGGGACCCGTTCCCCACGGGGGCTGTGCACTGAGGAGGGACCCGTTCACCACGGGGGCTGTGCACTGCGGAGGGACCTGTTCACCACGGGGGCTGTGCACTGCGGAGGGACCTGTTCACCACGGGGGCTGTGCACGGAGGAGGGAATCCATTCACTACGGGGGCTGTGCACTGAGGAGGGACCCGTTCCCCACGGGGGCTGTGCACTGAGGAGGGACCCGTTCCCCACGGGGGCTGTGCACTGAGGAGGGACCCGTTCACCACGGGGGCTGTGCACTGCGGAGGGACCCGTTCACCACGGGGGCTGTGCACGGAGGAGGGAATCCATTCACTACGGGGGCTGTGCACTGAGGAGGGACCCGTTCCCCACGGGGGCTGTGCACTGAGGAGGGACCCGTTCACCACGGGGGCTGTGCACTGCGGAGGGACCCGTTCACCACGGGGGCTGTGCACGGAGGAGGGAAATCTGTTCACCACGGGGGCTGTGCACTGTGGAGGGACCCGTTCACCACGGGGGCTATGCACAGAGGAGGGACCTGTTCACCACGGGGGCTGTGCGCTGAGGAGGGACCCGTTCACCACGGGGGCTGTGCGCTGAGGAGGGGCCTGTTCACCACGGGGGCTGTGCGCTGAGGAGGGACCCGTTCACCACGGGGGCTGTGCGCTGAGGAGGGACCCGTTCCCCACGGGGGCTGTGCACTGAGGAGGGACCCGTTCACCACGGGGGCTGTGCACTGCGGAGGGACCCGTTCACCACGGGGGCTGTGCACGGAGGAGGGAAATCTGTTCACCACGGGGGCTGTGCACTGTGGAGGGACCCGTTCACCACGGGGACTGTGCACTGAGGAGGGACCCGTTCACCACGGGGGCTGTGCATGGAGGAGGGACCCGTTCACCACGGGGACTGTGCACTGAGGAGGGACCTGTTCCCCACGGGGGCTGTGCACTGAGGAGGGACCCGTTCCCCACGGGGGCTGTGCACTGAGGAGGGACCCGTTCCCCACGGGGGCTGTGCACTGCGGAGGGACCTGTTCACCACGGGGGCTGTGCACGGAGGAGGGAAATCTGTTCACCACGGGGGCTGTGCACTGCGGAGGGACCCGTTCACCACGGGGGCTGTGCACAGAGGAGGGACCTGTTCACCACGGGGGCTGTGCACGGAGGAGGGAATCCATTCACCACGGGGGCTGTGCACTGAGGAGGGACCCGTTCACCACGGGGGCTGTGCACTGAGGAGGGACCCGTTCACCACGGGGGCTGTGCACTGAGGAGGGAAATCCATTCACCACGGGGGCTGTGCACGGAGGAGGGAAATCCATTCACCACGGGGGCTGTGCACGGAGGAGGGACCCGTTCCCCACGGGGGCTGTGCACTGAGGAGGGACCCGTTCACCACGGGGGCTGTGCACTGAGGAGGGAAATCCATTCACCACGGGGGCTGTGCACTGAGGAGGGACCCGTTCACCACGGGGGCTGTGCACTGAGGAGGGACCCGTTCACCACGGGGGCTGTGCACTGAGGAGGGAAATCCATTCACCACGGGGGCTGTGCACGGAGGAGGGAAATCCATTCACCACGGGGGCTGTGCACGGAGGAGGGACCCGTTCCCCACGGGGGCTGTGCACTGAGGAGGGACCCGTTCACCACGGGGGCTGTGCACTGAGGAGGGAAATCCATTCACCACGGGGGCTGTGCACTGAGGAGGGACCCGTTCACCACGGGGGCTGTGCACTGAGGAGGGAATCCATTCACCATGGGGACTGTGCACTGAGGAGGGACCCGTTCACCACGGGGGCTGTGCACTGCGGAGGGACCCGTTCACCACGGGGGCTGTGCACGGAGGAGGGAAATCTGTTCACCACGGGGGCTGTGCACTGCGGAGGGACCCGTTCACCACGGGGGCTATGCACAGAGGAGGGACCTGTTCACCACGGGGGCTGTGCACTGAGGAGGGACCCGTTCACCACGGGGGCTGTGCACGGAGGAGGGACCCGTTCACCACGGGGGCTGTGCACTGAGGAGGGAAATCCATTCACCACGGGGGCTGTGCACGGAGGAGGGAAATCCATTCACCACGGGGGCTGTGCACTGCGGAGGGACCCGTTCACCACGGGGGCTGTGCACGGAGGAGGGAATCCATTCACCACGGGGGCTGTGCGCTGAGGAGGGGCCTGTTCACCATGGGGGCTGTGCACTGTGGAGGGACCCGTTCACCACGGGGGCTGTGCACGGAGGAGGGGCCTGTTCACTATGGGGGCTGTGCGCTGAGGAGGGGCCTGTTCACCATGGGGGCTGTGCACTGAGGAGGGGCCTGTTCACTATGGGGGCTGTGCACTGAGGAGGGGCCTGTTCACTATGGGGGCTGTGCGCTGAGGAGGGGCCTGTTCGCCACGGGGGCTGTGCACTGCGGAGGGAATCCATTCACCACGGGGGCTGTGCGCTGTGCTCTGGCTCCTGATGGCAGCACAGGCCTGTTCGCCACGGGGGCTGTGCGCTGTGCTCTGGCTCCTGATGGCAGCACAGGCTGTGCCCAGGCCCCGGGTTGATAATGGCATAATTTGTGATTAGGAGCTTTGCTTCCCATCATGTTTCGGCCAGGGCCAGCGCTCCGAGGGGATGCGTGCCCCTGCCCAGCCACTGAAATCCTGCGTGGTTGTGGGACTCCAGGTACCTCTGTTGGGCACCTGATAGAACCCTTGCCTCAAACATGCAGGACTCCGGCTCACCCCGGAGGGAAGTAGAGCTCTCTTGTCAGCAGTGGGCTTTGGAGTTCAAGCCGTCTTTACCTGCCTGCTTTCAGGGTCCTGGTGCATGAGGGGAAGCAGGTCATGGCCGACTCGGGACCAATCTACGACCACACCTATGCTGGCGGAAGATTGGGTCTCTTTGTCTTCTCTCAGGAGATGGTCTACTTCTCCGACCTCAAGTATGAATGCAGAGGTGCGTGTGCATAGTCCAGGCGGCTCTGTATGCTGCCTCTTCTCTGTAGACACTGTGGTGGAGGGATAAAACCCAGGCGTAGTGCCCTGGGGCGGGGCTTTGCCTGCTCTCAGCCCTCAGGTTGGCTTTTGTCCCTTTGTTGTTTTAAATTGGATTTGAATGCTTTTGGTAGGACAAACACTTCCAGGCTGGACCCCATTGTGTTAGATCTTGTAGCTTCCTCTGGGGTTCTTACAGTCATTTTAGATTATTATCTTTGCCAACAATTAAAGGGAAAAGGGAGAGTGAAAAGGGGAGAATGGAAGGAAAAGAGAGGTAAGGCAGTTTCTTTTTCATGTATGTCTTGGAGTGTATTTGAATCAAAATACTGTAACCTGAAGGCAGACCTTCTCTTCCATCTGGTCTAGCCTACCACACCTTTCCTAGGTCAGATAAAGAAGGCTCAGAGGTGACACACTGAGAATAATACACAGAATAAGACAGTGTAGACGAGAAACTTAATTTCTCTGTTGGCTTCTAGTGAAATTTCCTTATCATTAGGTTAAGATGCTTTTGAAGATACTCTGTGTTTCTGTATATCCACCTACCCATCCTTCTGCTCCTAAACATCCGTTAATTCATCTAAACACCCGTTTTCTATCCATTCACCTACCTATGCATTTACCCATCCATCTATTCATCAAAACACCCACCCATCCACTCATTCTCTCTTTCATCTGTCCATCCACCTAACTGCCCATCCATCCTTCTACCCATCTACCCACTTGGTCATTTGCCTCTCCATTCATCAGAACACCCATTTGTCCCTCAGTCTACCCATTTTCCTTTCTCCCTCCTTCCCTTCCCTTCCTTCCTTCCTTCCCTTCCTTCCTTCCTTCCTTTCTTCTTTCCTTCCTTCTTCCTTCCTATTTGTGTCATTTTAAAATTAATGATGTTTGAGGGTATAAGTAAAACAAAATAAATCCCATTGTGGTGTAATCCTGATTCTGTTGGTTTCCTTTCTCTTAGATGTCTAGACAATGTGCTGCAAGTGGTATTTTCTAGACAAGTCAGCACTTGCAGCTTCTCTCTCTAGTGGCATTTCCTGTTCCTTAATTCTGAGTGGTTTTCCACCTCCTCCATCAACCCGAAGCCCAAGTGCCTAAAGAGGAAGAGCACTGATGAATCCACAAGATGAGCTTCTAACCCACTGCAGGAAGACGGCACTGTGGTACATGACTTCTGTGGAGTGAAAACCGAGCATGATGTTGTACTGCTTTCTTTTGTTTGTTTTAAAAGAATGACGTTTACATATAAAATGTAATTACTTGCTGTATTTATGTGTATATGGAACAGAAGGGAATTTGTGCATAAGCCATTTTCATAAATTAAGCGTGAAAAATACGGCTCAACTATGTTCCGTGCTTAGTGTTGTCACCTGGATTAACGTTGTTCTTGGATTCGAGCTGCTCTGCAGTGACACACAAACCTTGCCAGGTCAGTTGGCTTGAAATGAGGCCACAGTAAGGAGAGTGTGGCCCCACAAGCAAGTGACGTAAGATGTTGATTAATTGGAACCTCAGAAATAATTGCAAGATTAGGTCAGTACTCCCGTTTTCCTCTTGTCCCCTGGTAGAAGCTCTCATACTTGACAGGACTAAAGCATTTTCCTGCCAGATGGACCTCACGGGGCTCCACCTGTAGGCCTGGGTTTGAGCAGGAGGCTCCTGCAGGGCCCCACAGATCACAGAAGGGCAGATCAACTTCCTGTTCTAGGCTTCTACTTCCTGTTCTTGGTCTATTTCCTGTTCTAGGCTTAGAAACTGCAGGAAACTAGCTGTTACCTAGCTTGGTGGCACATCTCATTAAGGTTCCAGGCATAAGTGTTTGTTAGTATTTATTAAATGAATACAGAGTGCAGCTCTCTACTCACCAGTAACTTATTTGAAACTAATGCCAAATAACACATATATGGTAAAGTTTCTGGAATTAAACGTCTAATAAGGATGTAATAATATGAAGATACAGTTACAGAAATATCTGCGGGTTGAATATAAGGCTTTTATAATGTTTGAAAAAAGTGTGCTGTAAGATATAATGAGGTAAATAAATAGTAATGAAGAATTTGTAATGGAACCTTAATATATACTGTTGCCAGTGATTTTAATTCAGTATTTTTTACTGTTACCTATCTGCTGTGTATAGGAATTTTTTGTTTGAATGCTGCAGAAAAGCCAGCATTTGATTATTCTGAACACATGCAATGATCAATCACATGGTAGGAGACACGGTTTGAATTTCTAAAAGGTGAGTGGTCTCTTGGAAGGAGATAGTAGCGTCTCCCACTCCACACGTGGAGTTCAGTAGATGTTTGTCTGATATGTATGGGGAAGATCTTTCTCTTCTGTCTGGTCAGTGGTGGATACATTTCTGTGTCAAATAGAATCCATAGCTTCGGTCTGAATTTACAATTTACATGACACTGTTGCCTTCATTGCTTCCTTTGAGGTTGATTTTCTTTGTGTTTTGTTTTGATGACATATTTTTTCCTTTCATGTGGAACTTTATTCCCAAGGCCAGCACAGGGTTGGGGGCTGCATTAACTGTAACATCCATGAAGAATATGCAGGCTTCTCCTTGGGGTTGTGTAGGTGCAATGATGTGAATACTGAGAATGTACCATGAGTTTTGTAAATTATTTATGTCCTTTAAAGAATACAAGCTTCTCATATAGGTTAATGAAACTTTGTTTTTGCCAAAGATTGTAAATATTTATTTATTTGTTTACCTGGTAAAAATTTCACACCAAAAAACCCTTACCTTTAGCTAGCACCTCATTTTTATACTTAAGAAATAAGAAATAAATGATAAAAAAAAAAGGTTTCTATAAATCAATCTCTTTCCCTTTTTTAAAAAGAATGAGTCAGGGCCTCTGCTGGGCGGAAGGGAGAGGAATCCCTGCAGGGAAGACAGACAGGCATCTGTGTTCCGCCAGGTGAGGGCGTGGGCGCAGGTCTCCCAGCGAGCCAGCAGCCTGGTTCACACGGACCAGAGCTGGGCCTGACCAGCCCTCAGCCGTGCACCCGCTGCCTGTCCTCCCAGCTGCCGGAGCAGGCGTGGCAGGAGACACACGAAGGCCCCTGAGATGGACTCCGCCCACCAGAACAAGAGATGGAGCGGAAGACCACCAGGTGCGGTTTAGTCTTTCAGGGGGTCATGAGGCAACAGCCTTGGGGTTCCCTCAGCCGCCCCAGCTTGCCGTCTAGGGGATTCAGAGCGTGGGGTGCTGTTGGAGCTGGGCAGGAACTAAAAAAGAAAGGACAGGAATGAGAGGGAGAGACAGAGACCAATCGGAGGCTGAATACGGGTCCTGGGCTGTAGTGAGCTGAGAGACTCCAGAGAGGCTGTCGGAGGCGGCAGTGTGAGCCAGAGGCCCCGGGGGTGCACTGTGCAAGAGATGTGTGGAGCTCACAACCAGGAATACGTAGAGGACTTCACAAGGCTCAGCAGCAACGTAGTAAGAAAAGTGAGTCCTGTGAGGCTGCACATTAAACACTGCTCAAGAAAGGGGCAGACGCACAGAGGCTGGCTGGCTCACTAGTGCCGCAGACACTGCTCACCATCACACGCTTGACGCCATCGATGGGCAGATTCCGGCACGCCATAGGTTTCGTTCCCAGGCTCGCTCTCAGGGACAGCCGGTGTCTCCGGGATTACAGGAGTTTACATGTCATATCTGTCACTTGATGTGGGCAGGAGTCATTGGTAGGAAGGAGGGAACAGTGTTATAACTCTCTTTGGTGTGTGTAATGGGTTTCATACATTCTGTAATCCGCCATCTTTAATCCGTGGCCCTGTGGCTGTAGAGGATGGAGACTCACTCCTCAACCAGCTGGCTGCGTGTGCTGGGAAAGTGGGACTCAGTGAGAATCGAGGAGCCATCTCCCCTCAATGCGGTGCCTTGGCTGTGGGAGGGATAGATCGATGAACTAGTTGACTCCCAAGCAACCAGATTTGACTGCAGTGGCCAGGAGCAGAGAAGGTTCCAGAACACACTCATAACCCTGTTCTGTGTCTCCCAACTGTCGCCAAGCACGGGTCCCTTTCATGGGAGGCTTTGCTGTCAGAAGAGTGGGCTCGTCCTGGCAGGAAGCCCGGCCCGGGCCAGCGAGCCCCTGTGGGGCAGACAGCAGCACCTGACTTAGGAAGCTCAGGAAGGACCTCCTGCCTAGGCTGCCCCCCCCCCACGTGAGTCCTCAGGCCCCCGGCAGGCTGGGGCCAACAGAGCAGCCCAGGACCTCCCTGCCGCTCGGCCGGCCTCTCTGGGGAGCCGCGCCTACCCCCGGGACGTGGCCTTGGCAGGGTTGAGAGCGGCTCTCTGCCAGCTCCACTAGAAACAGTAGCTGGGGAACCTGCAGGGCTTTCTTGCCAGGAAGACTGAGCAAGCTACCGAGAGTCTGCCCAGAGCAAAGGCATCTCCACAGCCTGCCCCACGCCAGGGCCCGGGCTTGCGGCAGGGCTGGGTGTAGCCCCGCAGACTTCCACTCGGCCACCCCAAAGGCACACACCACCTCTGGTGACCACAGTGAGACTTTCACAGGCAGACCACGGACACAGCTGACCACGGAAGTCCCTTCAGTTGGTGGCTCTCGGCCGTAATAGTGAGGCTTGAAAAGTCCCCCACTCTGGCATCATTTTCACCCCAGACACAAACACAGCTACTACAATAGGAGAGGCAGTGTTGTGACCCTTTTCTTCCAGGAACTCTACCCTTGTCTAAGTGCCTGACCTGTGATCCAAACAGAGTGCCCTGTGGACAGGTTGTCACATCTGCTTTGTGACACAGTGTCTTGGAGGTAAGGTGCAGGGGAGGGGGAGAGGAAGAAGAGGAGGAGGAGGTGAGGTGGAGGTGAATGTGGAGGAGGAGGAGGTGTCCAGGGCCGCCCATTGGGGCCTCACCCCAGCCATTGCTCGGCCGGCCAGGGGCTTCTTTTCTGTTGGTTACTTCTCTAGAGGACAGGCAAGACGCCCCCAACAGGCTCATTGGAAGAGACCACTGGCACAATATGGGGACAAGTATTAATCCTGTTCCATTTTGTATTCCATCTTCGCTTTCAGGTTTTTATTTTTATAAATTTACACTTCCTCTTTGATTGTGTTAGAAGCTCACTTTTCTGAGATACAATAGGATACACATTACTTTTCTTCTTTTACAAAGCGGGGAATATGTTGGGGTGGAGTTCTGAGGAGTGAGCAGAGCTGGAAAGGCAGGGCGCAGATGGGCCGGGAAGCAGGAAGGGCCAGCCCGAGGTACACGATGCGTGTGCCCAAGGCTGCACAATGAGCGTGCACAGGCTGCACAATGAGCGTGCACAGGCTGCACAATGAGCGTGCACAGGCTGCACAATGAGCGTGCCCGCGGCTGCACGACCCGTGTGCCTGAGGCTGCACAATGAGCGTGCCCGCGGCTGCACAATGAGCGTGCACAGGCTGCACAAGGAGCGTGCCCGCGGCTGCATGACCCGTGTGCCCAAGGCTGCACAATGAGCGTGCACAGGCTGCACAATGAGCGTGCACAGGGCTGCACGACCCGTGTGCCCGAGGCTGCACAATGAGCGTGCACAGGCTGCACAATGAGCGTGCCCGCGGCTGCACGACCCGTGTGCCCGAGGCTGCACAATGAGCGTGCACAGGCTGCACAATGAGCGTGCCCGCGGCTGCACGACCCGTGTGCCTGAGGCTGCACAATGAGCGTGCACAGGCTGCACGACCCGTGTGCCCGAGGCTGCACAATGAGCGTGCACAGGCTGCACAATGAGCGTGCACAGGCTGCACAATGAGCGTGCACAGGGCTGCACGACCCGTGTGCCCGAGGCTGCACAATGAGCGTGCACAGGCTGCACGACCCGTGTGCCCAAGGCTGCACAATGAGCGTGCACAGGCTGCACAATGAGCGTGCACAGGCTGCACGACCCGTGTGCCCGAGGCTGCACAATGAGCGTGCACAGGCTGCACGACCCGTGTGCCCGCGGCTGCACAATGAGCGTGCACAGGCTGCACAATGAGCGTGCACAGGGCTGCACGACCCGTGTGCCCGAGGCTGCACAATGAGCGTGCCCGCGGCTGCACGACCCGTGTGCCCGAGGCTGCACAATGAGCGTGCCTGCGGCTGCCCCATGCTTGCACGCGGCATCAGAAGAAGCACCGTTGCCCACCCTGCCACTGGGCCGCAGGGTGGAGAGCTGGCCGGCCAGCCAGGGCGAGGCCTTCCCGACACCCTGTGTGGGCCTGCCGAGCTGACTGCTGATTCTACCGGGGCTTCTTGGCGGGAGCCCTGACCTCAGAATACCCCATTGCATTTCAAGGGGCAGGTTGCTTCTGGGGAACACCGAGTGTGTGTTTGCGTGCCGTGCACACGTGTGTGCATGTAGATGTGTACTCGGTGATGTGATGGACTGTGTACTTTACATTTAAAGTAGTTTATCTGTAAACTCCTTGTTTACTGTTGGCCTCTGAGAAAGTCAAAGCTCAGAGCCGTTGAGTGACTTTCTGAGGTCGCACAGCCCATACGTGGCTGGGGCCACAAGAATTCTGGACGCGGTGGCTGGTGCCATTGAGGGATTTACCTTGTATTTCCATAACTGTCCTGAAAAAGGCATGCTGGGGATAAGCCACGCGGTCATCTGGAAATTCCTTCTGAGGAATTCCGTCTCTGTGCCAGTTTGGAATTTGGAAGCTACTCGATCTGGCAGGACAGTCATGCCTTTCCTTGATAGGAAATGAGGGATGTGACTGTCTAAACTGGCTCTGGATTTGCGGCACTGCTAGCCAGGGCTTTGAGCAGCCGCTTTGCTGATGGCCTCGTGCCCCGCCCCTCCCCCACCCCGCTTCCCCGAGGCACTGTGGCCCCAGGGGCCGTACGCCCTCCTCTCCTCACCCCAAGGTGTCTGTGGGCCTGGGTCTGGGATGAGGGGCTGGCCAGGGTGGGTCTGGAGAAGAGTCTCAGGCAAGACTCTGGCTCCTTCCGTGTGAGGAGGGCTGAGGTGAGGTTTGACCCCTGGGTGCTTGTGCTTGATGGAGTGCAGGGTGAGCGGACACACGTGCAAGCCCGTGGAGTGTTGAAAGACCCCTGCTGGAGCTCTGGGAGCCCGGGGTCCACAACAGGCGGAGGAGCAGGGCTGGGCGCTGCCACCAGCGTTACTCGCAGGAAGGTTTGTCCTGACTCTTGCCTTGAGGACCTTGGGAAGTCCTGGAGGATGAATGATCAGACCGCTGCCCCTGGCCTCTGAGCTCCTCTCGGTCTGACTCGGCCACAGCTGGCTGTGTCTCCCTGGGACACAGGGACATCCTGAGCGTATTGGCCTGACAGACATGGTGAGTATTACGTGATATTAAGCCCTATGTACACGCAATTCCTTATCAGAGACACTTTCCACCTGGAGTAGAGCACAAATGAAATGAGAGCGGATGGAGCTAAGGGGTGTGTGTGACCAAGCTTGGCCTGGCTGGCTGTCACGCTGCCAGAGAAGGAGCCTCCGGAAGATCGGGCTGGGAAGCGCTGAGCGGAGGGAGGCTGGGTAAGAGCAAAATGGCCATGGGGTGCAGGGGATGGAGGAAGTGGAGTCCGCGGTGGCCATTTCCAAGGAGGTGCTCAGGCTCCTCCTTCCTCCTACCCTCAGCTGACAGCTGCTTAGTCCTCGGGGAAGCGTGAGGAGGCCCAAGAGTGAGACTCCTAGGAAGGACCAGCAAAGCCACGCCGCGGGCTCCAGGCCTGGCGGCCTGCGTCCTCCCCGCAGGCCCTGCCACCAGGCCTGGCGGCCTGCGTCCTCCCCACACCCTGCCACCAGGCC